GGACCTCGACAGCCTCCTTAGTAGCAGGTGGAAAGGAGTGACAGAGTTGGACATCATCTGCGTACAGATGACATCGCACTCCGAAACTCCGGATGATCTCGCCCAGCGGCTTCATGTAGATGTTAAACAACATGGGAGACAGTATTGAACCCTGAGGAACACCACAAGACAAAGGTTGTGGGGTTGAACAGGAGTCTCCCAGTAACACCTTCTGAGACCGACCCTCGAGGAATGAGCGGAGCCACTTCCTTTATTTCCTTATCTGTGTTGAGGATTTTGTCTCCTTTTTTAATTTTTGTGATATAGATGGACTGTGTTTTTTTCCTTATTCTTCTGGCCAGCCATTTGCCGGGCTTTCCTGCGTTCTCAAATTCCTGTTGTTTGATGTACCTATATTTTTTAGCCAGCTCTTCCATTTCAAGATGATGTTTTTTCTTTATCAATATATTTAACTTCCTCGTGATGGAACTCTTTCCTGGGTCCTTCTTTAGTTTCAGTTCGTGTTCTTCTATTTGCTTCTCGATTTCTTTTAATTCCTTATTTCTCATTTTGTTCCTGATGGTGTTTTGTTGAATTAAATTGCCCCTCATCACAGCCTTTAAGGTATCCCAGATTGTCTGGGGAGTTACATCTGAAGTGTCATTTATACTGAAAAATTCTTTAATTAGTTTCTTATTCTTGAGGATATCCTCTTCTTTTTTCAACAGGTTTCCGTTGAGGCGCCATGTTCTACTCTCTGGTTTTTTAAATAAATCTAGTATTATCGGGCAATGGTCCAATGTTTCTCTGGCCAGAATTTTTGTGTTGTGAATTTTGGTTACCAATGAGTTTGATAGCCAAATCATGTCTATTCTTGTCCATGTATTGTGACGTGCAGAATAGAATGTGTAGTCCTTCCCTTCTGGATAGCTGTGTCTCCATGAGTCATGTAAGTCAAATTCCTCTTTGAAGTCTATAAATTTTTTGGGTAAGGAGGTCTTATCCACTTTGGTTGTTTTTTGTTCTGCTGATCTGTTGTCTAATTTCCTGTCTAGGATACCATTAAAATCACCCATTATTATTAGGCTATCGTAATCGATTTTTTGGATGTTTTCTCTCAGAAAATCAATAAATTTACTTTTAGGCCCATTTGGGGCATATATATTAGGGCTGGGCGGTTTCGTTCGTTAATTTCGTAATTCGTTATTAATTCGTTATTTTTTTTATAACGAAGCGATATTGAACCATTCAGGAGCAATTAAAAAACGAAACGAATTTTTCAATTCGTTTCGTAATTGTTTCGTAATTGTTTCGAAATCGTTTCGAAATCGTTTCGTTATTATTTCCGCATGTCTGGTGCAAGTTTTAGGGTTGCTGTTTGTTTTATCAGTGAAAAAAATATATAATTATCACACCAACAGTCAACAACAGAAGGAGAGGGAAGCTTTAGAAGTTCCCCCTGTCCCACTTGGAGGTTTTTTTAGCGTATTGCGCGATCGCGTCCGCCATTAACGAATCGATTCGTAATTGTTTCGTAATTTCCGAAATTTCGTAAATATCGAACTTTTTTTAAGGAAAATTTCGGAATTATTTAAAAAATCGAAATGCAAAAACCCCCTAAAAACGAATCGAGTTTAGAAACAAATTTTTCCGTGGTTGCCCAGCCCTAATATATATTACATACCAGTGTTTTCTTTCTTTCCAAAGTTATCATTATTGCCACCACTCTTCCCTCTTGGTCTTTGAACATGAGTTGTGATGGTATTTCCCTCTTAACATACAATACTACCCCCCTTTTTTTCTTCTCGCATGTAGAGTAGTACTCTTTACCTAATTTATTATGAACTAAGTGTGCAATATGTCTATGACAAATATGAGTCTCTTGCAGCGCTGATATTTGAAAGTTTCCTTTATTAATTTTATGAAAAACTTTATTCCTTTTACTCGGGGAGTTAATACCGTTAACGTTCCAAGAAAGTATTTTTAACTGATGCTCATTCATCATTGGCGTTGCTTTGTTCTTCTATCTCCTCTTCCTCTGGCACTTCCTCGTTTACCTCTCCCACTGGTATTGTTGCCTGGTCTAGCTTCAGTTCTTCTTCTTCCGATGATGGAGGTCTGGGTCTTTTATTCATCCTGCCTGTTTTTTGGTACATTTCTCGATCCTCATTAGGGTGTTCTTTCTTTAACATTTTGTAAAATTCTTGCGCTTTCTCTTCGTTTTTGATCCAGTATTTTCTTTCCTTATATGTGAGCATCAGACCCTCCACTTTTTCCCATCTGAACCTGATTTTCAATCTATTGAGTTCTTGTGTTAGGAAGAGATATTTCTTCCTTCGATTCAGTGTTGTTTGTGGTATTTCCTTTAGTACTACTATCTTTTTCCCTTGCCAAATTATTGGGTTTTTGTTGGATTGGCTCAGAATATCATCCCTAATGCATTTTCTAGTGAAGCAGACTATGGTATCCTTTGTCAAATTATTTTGTTTAGCATAATTTGTTTGCATTCGAAATGTCCGGTCAATTTCTTTTTCCACACATTATTCTTGTTTATTTAGGAGTGTCGCTATGATGTTGATTATTTTAGGCCTCAGGTTTTCTTCAGCTTCCTCCTGTAAGTTTCTAAATCTTAAAATGTATTCTAATTCCTTTTGTTGCATTTTCTCCAGTTCTTTTTCTAGTTTTTCATTCTTATTAGTTATTTCCTCCATATTGTTTTGTATTTTTTTTTTGCGTTCTCGCTAGTGTCTTATTCTCCGTCTTTACATTTTTTATCTCGCTACTCGCCTCCGATAGTTCTTTTTTTATTTGACCTATATCTTCTTTGAGCTCTTTCCTTATTAAGTCCAATTGCGTTTGATGTTTGATTTGTCGCTCTGTTATTGTCTTAAGCTCTTTTTGGTTTGCTTCTTGGTTTTCTGTGATTTTCTCCGTTATTTTTTGGAGTTCTTTCCAGATGTCTTTCATTATGTTTTCCTCCTGACCTGAACCCTTTTTCCCTAATAGTTTTGGATCTTTCAACTCTTTTTCCATCTTTGTTTTTTGAGCTGACATTGTTTTGTTAGTATTTACTCTGGTATTGAATTAGGAGTTAGGGTTGGGGGATTCCCCCCTTCCCTATTCCTTAGTGGGTTTTGCCTGGTCTAAGTCTTTTTGTAAATATTTCTTTTCCCTTTCGACTCTAGTCTCCTCTTCCTGGACTCTTTTCTCCCTTTTATATATTTGTTTAATTTTTATGTTTATTAATTTGATTTCATATTCAGTTATTTTATTTTATTGTTTTACTTTGGCTTTACTCCCCCGCTCCCCGCCTATTATTCTATTCCCTACTCTCTTCCCTTTCCTTTCCGCGGGGGTTCTCCTCTCAACTTTCCTAACACTCTTTCTGAGTTTGGGATATTTCTTTTCTCCTTTCTTCCCCCTCTCTACTTTATCTATCTATAATTTTTATCCTTTACCTTCTTCTGTTGTCTTTCTCCGTTCTGCAGCCTTCTCTCGATCTTCCTCTGTCGCTGATCTTTCGATCTTCTTTTCCCTTATTTGATTTTATTTATCCATTTGATTATATAATTAAGCCTTACTCTAATTTATGTTATTTTATTTGATTCCCTTCTCCTTCCTGGTTGATCCTTCCTGGTTCTGCACTTTGATGTCCCTCTGTCGTCACGCTCCCCGCGCCGCGTCGTGCGTCACGTCGTTACGCTGGGTTGCGTTGACACGTTCCGCGTCCCGCGCTCTGGCGTTCCGCGCTCTTCGCACTGCTGCGTTGCTGTGCGTTGGGCGCCCAGCGCGCCGCGCCCCCGCGTCACTTCCTCGCTCGCCCCCTCCTGGGCCCCTCCTCTCTTTGTCTCCTTCCGGGCGCTCCTCCCGAGTAGACTCCCGTCTGGAGCGTCTCCTCGCGAGTCGTGCGTTCGAGATAGGTGGTGAGTGGGGCGGGCAAGCTTAACCTACTCACCTACTCACCCTCTTGGTGGTTCTTTATTTACAGTCCGTCTTCCACTTCTTTAGTTTAAAGTAGAATTGTTTTTAGGTCTGTTTTATAGTGTCCTGTCTTGTCCTGGTTTTCCCTCTTATATTAAGTTTTTTCTTTCTCCTTTAGCTCTCTCTTTATCTTCCGTTTCTCTGTCTCTCGTTTCTCACCCTCTGCTTCTCTCCAAGTCTCTCGGCCTTGGTTTTCAAAATAGTATTTGATAGTAACGTTGGGGTGAGTAGTTGACTCTTGTAGTCGGGTTCGTCGGAATTTGTGGTGGTTGAGGAGCTTTATGGTACACCACGTTGAAGAGCTGCTCTTCGGCGGCTGTACAACTGGATTAGTTTGTTTTAAATTGTCTTTGTTTGTCCTTTCTTAGTGCCGCTTAATCTTTTCTTGTTCATTTCCTCCTCTTTCCGGTCGTCCCCCTCTTTCCTTCCCTAGGAATGCAAAATATTTGGTTCGGGGCCTCTGCCCCCACTCCTTGGTTTGCACCACAATGTTTCTTTCTTGAAGTAAAATTGTGGAGGATGGCAGTTACTACAGGTCACTCGACCTGTTTCACGTGCAGTCACTCGCATCCCTTGGACACCCCCTCCTCGCCTTTTGCCAATACCTCGGGGATTGCAAAGGCAGCTAGGCTGTCGGTATGGTGTCCTGCTGGGAGTCAGCATGCCCCTCTGTATCCATCCACAGAGGGAGGGGAGCTATGCTCAACCCAGTGACTTGCTACGTGTTGCAGGTATCTGCCGGAGCTCTCTTTACCTGCGTCCTGCCGCCATAACCACAAACCGGAAGTCCCCCTCAGCTGCTTAAGTGGAAAGGGAAAAGGGAAAGGAAGGGGTCTGAGGCTGTTGGGAATTGGGGGAGTTGAAGTCCAAACACCCGGAAGGCCAAAGTGTGCCCATGCCTGCCTTACATTCGCATTCAAGGGGAGAAAGAAACCAACACTGTAGACTTCTCCTCTACCCACTCAGGCTCTCGCAGGGGAGCAGGGTGTAAGGGTGACCCACATGAATGGTGGAATCTCTCTCTCTCTCTCTCCCTGCAGGTCTTTGGCCACGGCAAAGCCAACGGGGAACCCACCTGGGCCCTCCTGCTGACCGCCTGCATCTGCGAAATCGGGATCCTCATTGCCTCCCTGGACGAAGTGGCCCCCATCCTCTCCATGTAGGTCCACTGAGGGGGCCCATGAGGGCATCCATCCGTCCCCTCCCATAAAGTGCCCCCCTCCCAAACAGTTTGGAAGGACCAAATTCAAGGGTGGTGGGGTGGACAAGGGGTGTCATGGCTCCATCCAGGCTTTGTTTTGGAGGCCTTGCCTGTGCCATACTGGGAAGGAGCTTCCCACCTGTTATGTATTTATTTACCATGTCAGGAGCGAACCAAACAGTTGTATTGTATTTTAAAAAGAAAACACAAAGTTTGCAAGCTTGGTATTCTATTAAATGTCCTTTGACCAGTCTCTGGCCCCTTGGAGTGCCTCTGGTGTTGCTGCAAGAAGGTCCTCCCTTGTGCATCATGTGGCAGGACTCAGGTTGCATTGCAGCAGGTGGTCAGTGGTTGGCTCCTCTCCACACTCACATGTCTTGGACTCCACTTTGTGGCCCCATTTCTGAAGGTTGGCTCTGCATCTCGTGGGGCCAGAGCACAGTCTGTTCAGCACCTTCCAAGTCACCCCATCTTCTATGTGCCCAGAAGGGAGTCTTTCATTTAGTATCAGCCACTGATTGAGATTCTGGGTTTGAGCCTGTGTAAGACTGTAGGTTTTATATAGCAATATTAAATGATCACTCACAAGCCGGTTTTGCTTTGAAATGAATATCTTGCTTGTATCTCTGCAGCAAAAAAAGACACTACTAACTTTTCCCCACCACCACTTCCTTTTATACACCTTTCCTGCCCATCTCCCCCCTCTTCTCACTTTCCTCATTAGAGCTTGTTGCTTTACAAGTTCCAATACAAGGTTTCCAGCACTCTCTGCTGGCTTCAAAATGTCACAGATAGAAAACTGAGGCAGCCAGGATGATTCAGTCAGGATGTCACGGAGGGAATTTGTGATGTCTTCATGCCCTCAGAAATTGACTCCTGACAGCCTGCCACTTTTGGACTCTCGCTTGCTGAGCTGTTCCAGCGAGTAGATCTTAGAAAACTATTTATTGATTTAAGTCATTGACATGCTGGCTGATATCCAAACAGGGGATGAGCCCCTGTCCATGCCTGTAGGATATTAGGAGGGCTCCTCCATCAGAGAAAGAAAGGAGAAGAATCCCAGAGTAAGAAAGGTTTCAGTCCTCTGTTGCATTCCTCCCTCATTGGTTTTGGGGCTTCTTATTTGCACCAAAACTTGGTACTGAGTGCCATGTTGCATATGTTGTGGGTCTCAGGGTCGACCATCCTGCCACCCTCCCACCCCCCGCATCTCATGGGCCTGTCTTTCTGCCCCTCTGCAGGTTCTTCCTGATGTGCTACATGTTTGTCAATCTGGCCTGTGCGGTGCAGACGCTACTGAGGACTCCAAACTGGCGCCCACGCTTCCGCTACTACCACTGGTGGGTGGGCAGTGGGGCAGCGATGGATGGATGGGAGAGAGGGAGGGAGATGAAGGGAAGGAGATTACTGTGATAGCCTTGGCTGCAAGGCTGACCCGTGCTCTCTGGCCATTGCAGGACACTCTCCTTCCTGGGCATGAGCCTCTGCCTGGCGCTGATGTTCATCTGCTCCTGGTACTACGCCTTGGTCGCCATGGTGATCGCCGGGCTCATCTACAAATACATCGAATACCGAGGGTACGTTGTGTGTTGGGGAAAGCGGTGCGTGGAGTGGCCACTGTGGAAATGGAAGGGACCCTGAGGACCTCTTCCAGCAGCCCCTCCCTTCAATTGAGATGCCAATGATGGTGACCACATATGATGTGTCTTAGATACCTTCAAGTGGGAGAAGATTGTGGAAGCCTCACAATTGTAGCTCACCAAGATGAGGTTTTGGTGCCCCACCTGGACCTTCTCCTCTCCACAAAGGCACATCCTGTTGCCCACCAACTCAATGCACCTCTGAGAAGTCCATGCGCCCTAACCTCATAGTTCCTCTCTTTTGATGCCACTAGTTTGGAGGAGGATAGGTTTGACCCCTGGAGAACCCCAAACTGGGCTTTCTATGGGACCCAGAAGCAGCAGCAGCATAGGACCATCCAAGTGGGGCCTACCTACACCTACATTGAGTGCATTACGTAACATAATTTGAAGGAAAATTCTGTTCCTGGTTTGAAAGTGTTATTTCCCATTTCATTGTGTGGTCCTGACTTTGAAAATAGTTGTCTTACTCCAGAAACTTCATTTTTGTGGTTGAATTGGTGGAGACTTGATCGAATGCTCACCTTTTTATGGCTCAATTACCTTGCCAAAATTAGGGTGTATATTAGATTTGCATAATAAACAAGGGTTGAATGAAAAGTGATGCCTCCACCTTCATAACTCCTCAACAGATGGCAGTACTGGTATGCGGCAGGTGCTGGCTTGTTCAGTAGACTCTCCTCTACAGTTCCATTTGAGTGGGAAGCCTTAGCATTGAACGGTTGTATTGTTAAAGAGCGAACTATAGAACCCTGCGCAGACAGTCGGTCAATGAGCTTAAGCGGCGGAGGAGGAAAAGGAAGGGGCCTGAAGCAGTAGGCTGTTAGGAATTCTGGGAATTGAAGTCCAAAACACCTGGAGAGCGGGCCAAAGTTTCCCCATGCCTGCTCAATCCTGTTAGTTTTCTTTTGGCCCATGAGGTCCTGCCTGTGAGACGGGCCCCCCAAAGCATCCTTTTCCCCTTCTGTGCCATTCAACCTATGCTTTGCCTTGCCTTGCAGAGCGGAGAAGGAGTGGGGCGACGGGATCCGCGGCCTCTCACTCAGCGCAGCCCGCTATGCGCTCCTGCGCCTGGAAGAAGGGCAGCCCCACACCAAGAACTGGAGGTGAGAGAGCGCACCCGTCTGCGCATGGCTATATGTCTGAGTTTTGGGGAGGGACTTTGCAGGGGACTGTGATGTCAGGCAGCAGATATCAATGCAATTTTCTGGCCAGTTTCCTTCCGATCATCCAATTGAGTGACTTCAGACGGTTGTTTCTACTTCAGTAGCGGCTCTAATCTTTATTTATTTACGACATTTATATGCCGCCCTTCTCACCCCGAAGGGGACTCAGAGTGGCTTACAAGATACATATACATACAATATATTATATTATTAGCTTTCTTACTTAGGCGGTCCCTCATAGTCCGAGGATGATGGTCCTCCAAGGTTGGTGTTCTGGCAATGGGTTTGTAGGTGACTGTAGAGCCCTACATGTTCTCCCGCAGTGAGGGCATCGGTTTCCAGGTGGAAGGTGGTCCCGGTCGGGGTTGGCTTGATGCACCTTCCTCTTGGCACATTTCTCCATTCGTGTCTCTTTGAATTCTGCAGCACTGCTGGTCACAGCTGACCTCCACCTGGAGCGCTCAAGGGCTACCAGTATTAAAAAAACTCTAAAATTACAACAGCACAACAACAGAGAGGAAACAAGCAAGGACATCTAATCACCTCTCAACAAAAGTTTGCTCCAGGCACTGTCAGGCCATTATATGCTAATCAAGGTGGTCAGTTGAAACATTCACACCTAGCTCCAGCAGACAAGAGTCCTTTGTCCCACCCTGGTCATTCCACAGATATATAAACCATTTTTCCTAGTTCCAACAGACCTCACTACCTCTGAGGATGCTTGCCATAGATGCAGGATTTTGATTCGGGGGGGGGGGGGGCTGAGTCTGAGTGAAAGAGGGTCTACCCTAGCAAACCTTTTGTATCATTACCCCAATACCCCCATGCATATGGGATATATTGAGCATGGTGATCAGATCATGATATGAATAAACATAACAGTTTAAATAATGTACCAGTAAGGCCTTCTTGCGTACAACCATGAGAATTTGGGGGGGGGGGCTGAACCTCAAGCCCCCCCCCCCCCCCCCCGGGGCTACATGCCTGACCATGGCCATATAGCCTGAAAAAACCTACAACAACCCAGTGACTCCGGCCATGATAGCCTTCAACAATACATTGAGCATCTTCATTGTCTGTTCTACACATGCTTCATAATGCTCCACAACTTTATTTCACAGCTAGCAACATGGACATTTTTAAGTTGTGCAATATACAGTGATCCCTCGCTCCTTCGCGGTCCACTTAGGGCAGACTCGCTGTGTCATGGAATTTTATTTAAAAAAAATAATTTCGACCTACTTACCTTCCTCCTCTTCCTCTTCTTCGCTGCCTGAGGCTTGGGCCCCATGCAGTGTCGTAACAAGAAGCCCAGGCAGAAAAGAGGAGGAGGATGAGGAAGGTAAGGAGGGCAAGTAGAATCATAGAATCGCGTCGAAATTCTAATTTCGCCTTCGACCGGCGATTTCGGCGTCCCGCGAGATCGAAAATCCCCCCGCCGCCACTCAAGACCCCCCTACAGGCTTTACTTTAATATACCTTCCCCTCTTACCTCTTCTTTTTCTTCGCTGCCTGATGCTTGGGGTTGGGGGGTGAGGGGGGGGGGGGGGGGGGGGGGGGGGGGGGGGGGGGGGGGGGGGGGGGGGGGGGGGGGGGGGGGGGGGGGGGGGGGGGGGGGGGTGGGGGGGGGGGGGGGGGGGGGGGGGGGGGGGGGGGGGGGGGGTGGGGGGGGGGGGGGGGGGGGGGGGGGGGGGGGCAGGGGGAGGGGGGGGTTGGGTGTGTGGGGGGGGGGGGGCTTCTTCGCTGCCTGAGGCTTGGGCCCCATGCAGTGTCGTAACAAGAAGCCCAGGCAGAAAAGAGGAGGAGGATGAGGAAGGTAAGGAGGGCAAGGTAGAATCATAGAATCCAAGAGTTGGAAGAGACCTCCTGGGCCATCCAGTCCAACCCCATTCATCCAGTCCAACCCCCAGTCCAACCCCACGAGGACTCCAAGAAAGTTCCACTGCTGAACATAGAATCCTAGAGTTGGAAGGGACCTCCTGGGCCATCATCCAGTCCAACCCCATTCTACCAAGAAGCAGGAATATTGCATTCAAAGCACCCCTGACAGATGGCCATCCAGCCTCTGTTTAAAAGCCTCCAAAGAAGGAGCCTCCACCACACTCCCTCCGGGGCAGAGAGTGTCCACGGCTCTCACAGTCAGGAAGTTCTTCCTCATGTTCAGATGGAATCTCCTCTCTTGTAGTTTGAAGCCATTGTCCCATTGCGTCCTAGTCTCCAGGGAAGCAGAAAGGAAGCTTGCTCCCTCCTTCTCCCTGTGGCTTCCTCTCACATATTTATACATGGCCCTCATCATCTCTCCTCTCTGCCTTCTCTTCTTCAGGCTAAACATGCCCAGCTCCTTAAGCCGCTCCTCATAGGGCTTGTTCTCCAGACCCTTGATCATTTTAGTCGCTCTCCTCTGGACACATTCCAGCTTGTCAATATCTCTCTTGAATTGTGGTGCCCAGAATTGGACACAATATTCCAGGTGTGGTCTAACCAAAGCGAATAGAGCATGGGGAGCATGACTTCCCTAGATCTAGACACTATGCTCCTCTTGATGCAGGCCAAAATCCCATTGGCTTTTTTGCCGCCACATCACATTCCTGGCTCATGTTCACCTTCCTCCCCACGAGGACTCCAAGATCCTTTTCACACGTTCTGCTCTCGAGCCAGGCCTCATCGTCCCCCATTCTGTCTCTTTGCATTTTGTTTTTTCTGCCTAAGTGGAGTCTCTTGCATTTGTCCCTGTTGAACTTCATTTTGTTAGTTTTGGCCCATCATCTCTCTAATCTGTCAAGAATTTATTATTTATTTATTTATTTACTTTGCTTCTATACGGCTGTATCTCAAGCCCGAAGGCGACTCACGGCGGTTCACAAACAGTAAAAACAGTAGAAACAGCAGTGGTTCCATACAACATATAACAATTGACTTAACACATTATCCATAAATTACCAATAAGCAGTTACAATGCACAATTATTATGAAAAACAACTGTACCCAATCTTCTCATCCAAGCGTAGTCCAGATTCGTCGTCCATTGTTCCATTCCTATGTTCCATTACCAGATTGTACTAAATTACTCAAACGCCTGCACAAACATCCAGGTCTTCACCTTTTTTGCGGAATACCATTAGAGATGGTGCTAGTCTAATGTCCGTAGGAAGGGCGTTCCACAGCCGAGGAGCCACCACCGAGAAGGCCCTATCTCTCGTCCCCGCCAGCCGAGCTTGAGAAGCAGGCGGGATCGAGAGCAGGGTCTCCCCGGAAGATCTCAAACTCCTGGTGGGTTCATAGGCAGAGATGCGGTCAGATAGGTAGCTTGGGCCGGAACCGTTTAGGGCTTTAAAGGCCAACGCCAGCACTTTGAATTCAGCCCGGTAGCAGATCGGTATCCAGTGGAGTTGGCGCAACAGGGGGGTTGTATGCTCCCTGCGCTCCGCTCCTGTTAAAATCATGGCTGCCGAGCGTTGGACTAGTTGGAGCTTCCGAGCTGTCTTCAAAGGCAACCCCACGTAGAGAGCGTTGCAGTAGTCTAAACGGGATGTAACCAGAGCGTGGACTACCGTGGCCAAGTCAGACTTCCCAAGGTACGGGCGCAGCTGGCGCACAAGCTTTAGCTGTGCAAATGCTCCCCTGGTCACCGCCGAAACCTGGGGTTCCAGGCTCAGTTGATGAGTCCAGGGTCACACCCAAGCTGCGAACCTGCGTCTTCAGGGGAGTGCGACCCCATCCAACACAGGCTGTAACCCTATGCCCTGTTCGGCCTTGCGACTGACCAGGAGTACCTCTGTCTTGTCTGGATTCAATTTCAATTTGTTCGCCCTCATCCAGACCGTCACAGCGGCCAGAGCACCGGTTCAGGACCTCGACAGCCTCCTTAGTAGCAGGTGGAAAGGAGTGACAGAGTTGGACATCATCTGCGTACAGATGACACCGTACCCCGAAACTCCGGATGATCTCCCCCAGCGGCTTCATGTAGATGTTAAACAACATGGGAGACAATATTGAGCCCTGAGGAACCCCACAAGACAATGGTTGTGGGGTTGAACAGGTGTCCCCCAACAACACCTTCTGAGACGATCCTCTAGGAAGGACCTGAGCCACTGCAGAACAGTGCCACCAAGGCCCATTCCCGCGAGGCATCTCAGAAGGATACCGTGGTCGACGGTATCGAAGGCCGCTGAGAGGTCCAGCAGAACTAACAGGGACACACTCCCCCTGTCTAGCTCCCTGCGCAGATCATCCACTAAGGCGACCAAGGCTGTCTCGGTACCATGTCCCGGCCTAAAGCCAGACTGTGCCGGATCTAGATAATCCGTGTCTACCAAGAATACCTGGAGTTGTGAGGCCACCACACGTTCCAAGACTTTGCCCAAGAAGGGGAGATTGGAAACTGGCCGATAGTTGTCGAATTGAGTGGGGTCCAGTGATGGTTTCTTCAACAGCGGTTTTATTATAGCTTGTTTTAAGCTCGCTGGAATCTTGCCTTCCCGAAGGGAAGCATTAACCACCACCTTAATACATTTATTACTATATATTATGACATGTAGAGTGATGAATGTATATATGTTAGGGGCCCCAGAAGGCGGAAATGGCTTGGAGGCCAACAACAATAACATCACGCGTTGATGCTGAGCCTGGCTTGGCCTGCCTTGGGCTCCACGTGGCCCCGAATGGCTGCCTCCTCTGCCTCCTTCTCTACCTTTGCGTCTCTCTGCATGATTGCGCTCTTGCTCCGAGGGTGAAGAATAGCGTTGGCGTTTAGTGCCAAAATGTGTCAAGAAAGGATGGCATGTTGTGCCTGATGTGAGGATTCTGGCCCCGTTCCGCCAGCCGCCATTCCCGTTCGCACTGCGCCTGGACCCTGACATTGCCTTGGTCCTGGGATTATGCTTCAGGCCCACATGATGGACGTTGGGCTTTATCCAACGCGCTGTTCGGTCAGCACCGATCTCTTTCCTACAACATTTTTGGAATATTTCCAACTTCATTTGCACTAAAAGCATATTGCACCCAGCCTTTGGCATTGTGCACACAGCACCACCCTCATATTTTTGTGTGACAGCGGAATAGGAATGAGGCCATGCAATAAGCCCCAATCAAGGGTGGTATGACCAGGTTGTGGTTGTGATTTCCCTGCCTCATGCAATAAGGCTAGTGCTTCTTTTCATTTGGAATGAAGTCCAAATTGCATAGTGAAAAGAAGCAGGGAAGCTGAGGGATGATTTATTGTTGCCACCAATTTGAAAGGAACCAGTACTCAGGAGATTTTACTCCAGTTCCCAACTTTAAAAAGACTTAGCCGATTTGCAATGGAGGTGGCGGATTAGGAACCAAATTTACCATCAAGTTGGAAGGGAGGCTGTTCAATTGCACCTCCTCCTTTATTAAGAAAGTAATAACTTAGTAGTAATTACACTGTATATACTGTAGCGTGACTGGAGAGAAGAATGTAGATTTATTTGGTTACTTTTCCCTGCGTTTCTGCCACCACGTGAGGTAAGTTATAATATTGTGAGAAATGGCACTTTATACCCAGAATAGATGGAACTGAGGTGATCTTCAAATAAAAGTTAACAATTTTATTAAGTACACAACGTGTGGTTGCAAGACATAACTTTTCCTTGTTTCACTTGGAATAATACTTGTAACTTTAACAGTTCATTCTTTCAAGTAAAACAGTATCTTTCTGACGTAGAGCACTTGTTTCAGACAAAGTTTCCATACAGGGATGTTTCCCTTAGTTGATCCTCCCTAGATCAAATACTAAGTAAACTATTCTTTAGCCTCTCCTTAGACTAAAAGAATACCAGTTATGTTTCACCATTCGGCTGCACTAGCCTGAGAAACTTCCAATAGCCAAACCCAGCTTTTCAAAGCCTCAAAGCTTTGCTTCCCAAGTCACTCCGCCACCTTTCTTTTCCTTCTCTCCCAACTCCTAACTCCTCACTCCTCTGAACCTCACTCCTGACTGCTCACTCCTCTAAACCTAAACCCTAACTGATTTTTAACTGCCGTTTTTTCAAACTCTCCTCTCTAAGCTCCTCCCACTTCCCTCTCTCCTGCATCGGTCTCCATGGCAACACACATGAAGGACTCCTCTGACTTAGGCCGCTCCAGCATTACTGCAGCCAATCTAAACACAAATACAGTTAAAATCATACAATTTATAATCAACTCCTGTACACATAGTCATAACATTGGAAGGGCTCCTGAAGGTCATCTGGTCCAACTCTTCAATGCTGTGCCGGAACTCTAACCAAACCAGGGCTTCTCAAAGATGGCAACTGAAATGGTCAAAGGTCTGGAAACAATGAATCCCTGGGTCTGCTTAACCTGCAGAAGAGAAGGCCGAGAGGAGACACAAAAGCCATGCTTAAACATTTGGAAGGGAATCATAAGGTGGCCACACAACTTCCATTCAGGAGTTTCCTTAAGTGGTCACGCTCATCTTGCCCTCAGGAAAAGCTTCTTCCAACATTTTTGATGAAGCCTATTTGTTGCGGTGTGTGGTCTGAGGGTAGGGCTGTTGTGTGGTGTGTGGCTGCTGGTCAGTGCCATGGGACTGAGGCGCCCGCCTTGCCCCTCCTCTTCCACAGGCCGCAGCTGCTGGTGCTGGTCCGGGTGGATCAGGACCAGAACGTGGTGCACCCGCAGCTCCTCTCCTTCACCAACCAGCTGAAGGCCGGCAAGGGGCTGACCATCGTGGGCTCCGTCCTGGAGGGAACCTTCCTGGACAACCACCCCCAGGTCCAGCGGGCCGAAGAGGTGAGCAGAAGGGCAGGGGTCACAAGGGGAGTAGAGGGGGGGGGGGAGAGAAAGGGGTGCATCTAACTCTTCTATGTGTCTCTCCCCCTCCATTCCCACACTCCTTCCTTCCTTTCCTTCTTTCTTTTCCCTTCCTCCATTCCCTTCCTTCCTTCCTTTTCTTTCTTTCTTTCCTTCCCTTTATTTCCTTCCCTCTTTTTTTAATTCTCTTCTTCCTTCCCTTCTTCCTTCCTTCTCTCCTTCCTTCCTTCCCTTCTTTTTTCCTCCCTCCCTTTCTTTCCTTCCTCCCCTCCTTCCTTCTCTCATTTCCTTTCTTTCTTTCTTTCTTTCTTTCTTTCTTTCTTTCTTTCTTTCTTTCTTTCTTTCTTTCTTTCCTTCCCTCAATTTTTACTTCTCTCCTTCCTTCCTGCCCTCCTTTTTTACTTCTCTCCTTTCTTCCCATCTTTCTTTTTCCTCCCTCCCTTTCTTTCCTTCCTCCCCTCCTTCCTTCTCTCATTTCCTTCCTTCCTTTCTTTCTTTCTTTCTTTCCTTCCCTCAATTTTTACTTCTCTCCTTCCTTCCTTTCCTTCTTTTTCCTCCCTCCCTCCCTTCTCTCCTTCCCCCTTTCCTTCATTCCCTCTTTCTTTTTTTCCTTCCTTCCTTCCTTCCTTCCAATCCTTCCCTTTCTTTCCTTCCTTTCCCTCCTTTTTTTGCTTCCTTCCTTCCCTCCATCCGTTTCCCTTCCCTCCTTTCCCTTCCTTCCTTCCTTCCTTCCTTCCTTCCTTCCTTCCTTCCTTCCTTCCTTCCTTCCTTCCTCCAACAGTCCATCCTTCGCCTGATGGAGGCAGAGAAGGTGAAGGGCTTCTGCCAGGTGGTGACCTCCTCCAACATCCGTGATGGTGTCTCCAACCTGATCCAGTCCAGCGGCCTGGGGGGTCTCCAGCCCAACACCCTCCTGGTTGGCTGGCCACGCAACTGGCGCTCTAAGGAGGACCATCAGACCTGGAGGAACTTCATCGGTAGGAAGAGGGATTTTTGTTTTGTTTTTATCTCCTCTTTCCTCGTGTTTTTAGTTATTGTTTTTCGTTTTTGTTTGTTTGTTTGTTTCTAATTCTGCCACTGCCCATCTAGTGTTTTCAGTAACGGTTCTATCCTGTTCAAGGGGTCTTCCAAGTCTATCATCATATCATCTGCGAATGCCTTTGTCTTACAGTTTTGGCATCATTTGTGTAGCCCTTTAATGTTTGCTCTTTCCCTAATATTTCTCATTAAGATTTCCATTGAGAGGATAAACAATAGCGGGGTGGTCAATTCCTTCTGGATTTTGCACGAGCTTGTTTAGTCTCTATTTACAAGGATTTTTGCATGCTGCGTGTTCTAAATTAATGTTTTCATTGAGTTCAGTGCAACCTTTCCTTGTTCTGTGTTGCTGCATTGACTTTGACTTTTGGCAACTCTACGAATGAGAGTCCCTCAAGAGCCCCGCCATCTGGAGCATCATTGCCGACTCAGGGCATCTGGTGCAACGGAACCCATCCGACTGCCCGGCAGACCCTTCTTTCCCTCCTGCCTCCACTTCACAAGGCATTGCTTTCTTTCCTCTTGAGTCTTGTCTTCTCATGGTGTGTCCAAAGCATGAGAGAGAGAGACAGAAAGACATGCAATCTGGGACAAGTCACCCTAACAAAGCAACTGAGGAGACCTTTCTTTGGAGGTGCCATGAAACCCTTCCTCTCCCATTAACCCTCCTGCAGTTGAGACTTCTTCCTTCCCTTCCTGCCCCACAGAACTGGTGCGAGAGACCACTGCGGGGCACATGGCGCTGCTGGTGGCCAAGAATGTGGCCATGTTCCCCGCCAACACTGAGCGCTTCTCTGAGGGCCACATTGACGTCTGGTGGATCGTCCATGATGGAGGGATGCTGATGCTGCTCCCCTTCCTCCTGCGGCAGCACAAGGTAGAAGGAGTGGCGGGGAGGGTCCAAACAAACCCCAAGGGGACCCTGGGGACAAGGGCCACTCGCTCTGTGGCCACCACAGAGAAACCAGTACGCTCTGTTCTGGTGCGCGGAAGTCTTCTGGCCCCACAGTGGCCGATCCGTGCCATTTCTGTGCCGAAATGCCAAGACACCAAAAGAATCCCCTTTCTCCTTCTCGCTTCCCCTGCAGGTCTGGCGCAAGTGCAAGATGCGGATCTTCACGGTGGCCCAGATGGACGACAACAGCATCCAGATGAAGAAGGACCTGACCACCTTCCTGTACCACCTGCGCATCACGGCAGAAGTGGAAGTCGTGGAGATGGTGAGGGGAGCAGCGGAGTCTTGTCAGACTTGAGGTTGGGAAGATGCCAGGGGGAATGAATGGGGCAGCCTCCGCTTCCTCCTCAAGACCTCATGCAGCAAGGCAGCTGCCGTGGGCCATGGCTGTACCATTCCTGATAGGAGGAACCAGCAAAGCCTTGGCTTGCTTGACCATCCTCCTGCTTTTGGACATGCTTTTGGTCTTCTTTCCACCAATAATAATGTAATAATAATAATCTTTATTTATTCCATGCCACCATCTCCCCATGTAGCCTCATGTAAGCCGGGGTGGCTTACATGAGGTCACGCCCGATAATACAATTAGAGTAAAATAAATACAAAACAGCAAAAATAACCCAACAAACTTGGAAGTAGAGGGAAACCAAGATTGTCCAGGGAGGCCCTGCTCTCGATCTCCCCTGCGTCACAAATACATTTGGCAGGGATGAGAGACAGGGCCTTCTCTGTGGTGGCCCCTCAGCTATGGAACGCCCTTCCTGGGGACATTAGATCGGCCCCTTCCCTCTTATCATCCCGGAATAGAAGTCAAGACCTGGCTGTTTGAGCAAGCGTTTGAAAATGCCATGTAAAAGACAAGAACTTGGAATGACTGGACGACGAGATGGATAATGTTTTTTAATTAAGAGTCGCAAATGTCTCACGTTTTTATTAGTTTTGTTTTGTTTTATACTATGTATTAATGTTTTATGGAGTTCTTGAGCATCAAATCCTTGCCTCTGTAAACCGCCCTGAGTCGTCTGAGGGCTGAGAAGGGCAGTATACAAATATAGTAAGTAAGTAAACAAATAAATCTGGCTCATGGAGACCTTTCCTTCCTCCTGATCTTGTTCCTTTTCTCTGCCCACAGCACGAGAGCGACATCTCGGCCTACACTTACGAGAAGACGCTCGTGATGGAGCAACGGTCCCAGATCCTGAAGCAGATGCACCTCACCAAGACAGAGAGGGAGCGAGAGGTGAGGACCCTGACCCAGACAAGGACCACCACCCCCCAGGACTCTCTGTATCTTATCCTACGCATGGGCCAACTTTGGCCCTCCCTCCAGGTGTTTTGGACTTCAACTCTGTCACACGCTGGGCCTATAATGAATTGCTTTTAAAATAGGACGTTTAACTTTTGCCTAGCGGGAAGCCAGGGACCCCTGAAGAGAGGTTCTCAAGGATTTTCTACCACAAATGGTCTTTAGATGGCTTGTGAAGTATAACAAAGTCCTTGATTAATGAACAATCAAACAGAAACTTCTCTTGTCTTCAATAAAGTTAAACAAATGCTTCCAGGCTTTTATGCAACTGGTGGCTTCCTCAATCTTGCCCACGAAGGAGAGGCAACTGTCTTCAATAACTGTTTCTTTACTTTAAAGGAAAATCCCCTTTTTAACTTCTCCCAGGCTGACTGTAATCTAAGCCTTACTGGTGTGGGCTCCGCTACCGGGTCGAACTGCGTCTCGAGCACCGAGTGGACCTACCAGTAAGACCAGTAGATTCTCCAGTTGGGAGTTCTTTGGTCTTCCAAACTATCCTCCGAAATTCCTCGAAGCTTTAGGGCTTTTTTCCTGGAAATCTTTGGAAAGCTTTGGATGCTCTTGTTCTCCCCCGGAAAGTCCAAAACACCTGGAGGGAGGGCCAAAGTTGGCCCGTGCCTGTCTTGAAGGTCGTATTACACACAACACTTTTTGACTGAAACAAAGCTTGTGTCCACTGATCAGAAAGCAAAGGGGACACCATTTCAGCCCCTCGTGGGGACCATTTTTCAGTTTGGAGTACTTCGCATTTTGGGATTCCAGATAAGTGATGCTTAGCTTATGCAAGTCAAGGGCCATAGAGAGACACCAGCAAAAACATACACAGAAAATGGGCACTCTAAATTCAAAACTTGTTAAATATTTATTAAAAGGCAGTATGCAAGCCAACAAAAAAACAGGACGCCACTAGAAGGGAAGGGGCAACTGGAGGGCAGCTGGGATTACACTAGCAAACCTCTGGTTCTACTGAGCCTTGACCCTTATTTGCCTTGAGCCAAGGGGGTCACCTGTGTGGCCGGTCTGTCAAGTGACAGTTTCCATGGAGATGCGGGTCTCTTTGCCAGTATAAACTGTTACACCGTGCATGTTTTAATCCAGCATCCGAATGCCCAAAAACCCAGACGCAAAATAGTCTCAGACCAATAGTCAAGGTAAACAGAAAATCTTTAGGTTCTTGTGGGTTTTTTCGGGCTATAGAGCCATGTTCTAGAGGCATTTCTCCTGACGTTTCGCCTGCATCTATGGCAAGCATCCTCAGAGGTAGTGAGGTCTGTTGGAATTAGGACAATGGGCTTATATATCTGTGGAATGGCTGGGGTGGGGCAAAGAGCTCTTCTCTGCTGGAGCCAGGTGTGAATGTTTCAACTGATCACCTTCATTAGCATTTGTAGGCCTGCCTGAGCCTGGGAAAATCTCTTGCTGGGAGGTATTAATATGTGCCTGGTTGTTTCCTCTCTGCTGTTTTGCTGTTGTAATTTTAGAGTTTTTTAATACTGGTAGCCAGATTTTGTTCATTTTCATGGTCTCTTCCTTTCTGTTGAAATTGTCCACATGCTTCTTGTGGATTTCATGGCTTCTCTGTGTAGTCTGACATGGTGGTTGTTGGAGTGTTCCAGCATTTCTGTGTCCTCAAATAATATCCTGTGTCCAGGTGGGTTCCTCAGGTGCTCTGTTATGGCTGACTTCTCTGGTTGAAGTAGTCTGCAGTGCCTTTCATGTTCCTTGATTCATGTTTGGGCAATGCTGCGTTCGGTGGTCCCTATGTAGACTTGTCCACAGCTGCATGGTACACGGTAGACTCCTGCAGAGGTGAGAGGATCCCTCTTGTCCTTTGCTGAACGGAGCATTGGTTGGATTTTCTTGGGTCTGTAGATAGTTTGTATGTTGTGTTTCCTCATCAGCTTCCCTCTGTGGTCAGTGGTTCCCTTGATGTATGGCAGGAACACTTTCCCTCTGGGTGGGTCTTGGTCTTTATTCTTGTGGCTTGCTCTTGGTCTTGCAGCTCTTCTGATGTCTGAGGTGGAGTCTCCCTTGGCCTGGAGAGCCCAGTTGAGGTGGTTCAGTTCCTCTTGGAGGAGGTGGGCTTCGCAGATTCTTTTTGCACGGTCTGCCAAGGATACTCCACCTCAGACATCAGAAGAGCTGCAAGACCAAGAACAAGACAGTCTTTGTAATATGCATAACATAAAGCATCTTCTAAGCAGCCAATGGGAAATCAAAACAACCTGAAGTAAATAGCTATTTCACCATCAGCATCTCCTGCTGTAACGCCATGCTGGTGAAACAGAACTCCAGCAGCAACCCACCAGAAATCCAGCACTCAGCACACTGTATTCAAAAAACTCAAACGATTTTTGCCCCTTGGGCATGGCACAAGATTGCTGCTTGACCTCCTTAGTCAGCTGAACCAGATAATTACAATCAATAAGGTTTTTAGGTTCTTGTAGGTTTTTTCGGGCTATAGAGCCATGTTCTAGAGGCATTTCTCCTGACGTTTCGCCTGCATCTATGGCAAGCATCCTCAGAGGTAGTGAGGTCTGTTGGAAATAGGACAATGGGCTTATATATCTGTGGAATGACTGGGGTGGGGCAAGGAGCTCTTCCTTGCTAGAGCTAGGTGTGAATGTTTCAGCTGACCACTTTCATTAGAATTTGAAGGCCTGCCTGAGCCTGGGAAAATGTTCTGTTGAGAGGTGTTTTTCTTCACACATATACTTGTGTCCTTCAAGGACTTACTGTAACATAAACACACACCCCCCCCCCCAGTTTGCCACAAGCCAGCTTCCTCCCTGATGTCCCCTTCCTTCTTTCCTTAGATCCAGAGCATCACAGACGAATCCCGAGGCTCCATCCGGCGCAAGAACCCCACCAACACACGCCTCCACCTCAGTGTCCCCGACGAACAGGTGGGCGACAGCGAGGAGAAGCCCGAGGAAGAGGTGAGATCACTGAATGGGGGTCTGCAGAATGAGATGATCCCTCTCCAAGTCAAGAGCAGGAAGGTGGCATAGGTGGCATGGCAACCAGCCAGGGATGTGGCCTCTTGCGGGGTAGCCCAGGCACAGTCTGCAAAATGAGGTGACCCCTCRCCAAGTCAAYAGCAGGAAGGTGGCATAGGTGGCATGGCAACCAGCCAGGGATGTGGCCTCTTGCGGGGTAGCCCAGGCACAGTCTGCAAGATGAGGTGACCCCTCTCCAAGTCAAGAGCAGGAAGGTGGCATAGGTGGCATGGTAACCAGCCAGGGATGTGGCCTCTTGCGGGGTAGCCCAGGCACACCTTGGCCATTGTTCCCTTGGGCCATCTCAGACCACTTCTGGCATCTGGGGACTACCTCCCTCAATGGGCCCAAGGGCCAGTGCTTTGCTGCTGGAACCTTCTGGGAGCCGTGGTGACTGGCAAGTGCTAATGCACAAGGGAAAAAGGAAAATCCAAAAGCTTTGGGTCACTAGAGATGACCAAAAAGTCCACTGAGTAGCCAAACACGGTGAGGAGAAGCCCGAGGAAGAGGTGAGATCACCAAACGGCGGTCTGCAAAATGAGGTGACCCCTCCCCAAGTCAAAAGCAGGAAGGTGGCATAGGTGGCATGGCAACCAGCCAGGGATGTGGCCTCTTGCGGGGTAGCCCAGGCACACCTTGGCCATTGTTCCCTTGGGCCATCTCAGTCCACTTCTGGCATCTGAGGACTACCTCAGTGGACCCCAGGGCCAGTGGTTTGCTGCTGTAACCTTCTCGGAGCCGTAGTGACTAGCAAGTGCTGATGTTGTTCATTTGTTCAGTCATTTCTGACCTCATAGACCAGCCCATGCCAGAGCTCCCTGTCAGCTGTCATCACCCCCAGCTCCTTCAAGGTCAATCCAGTCACTTCAAGGATGCCATCCATCCATCTTGCCCTCGGTTGGCCCCTCTTCCTTTTACCTTCCAGCAAGTGCTAATACACGAGCGAAAAAGGGAAATCCGAAAGCTAGAGATGACCAAAAGCCCACTGAGTCACCAATAAGGGCAACTATTGAGACCAAAAAGGGCAACTACAGCCTAATTACCATATTTACAGCTGTCAGGATGAAACCTGGCAGAACTGTAAGCATAATTTATGACTTGAAGCCTGCCAGGTTTCAGAACATGTTAATACACAAATGTCCTATTACTATAAACTTCAACACAAATACCAACTGGAGTAATGAGAAAAAGACCAAACTCACTCATATAATACACAAGCATCGGCAACAAACAGGGACAGCTTACAACGGTCAGGAGTCAATTTCTGACGGCATGAAGACATCACAAATTCCCTCCGTGACATCCTGACTGAATCATCCTGGCTGAATCAATTCTCTCTGTGTGACATTTTGAAGCCAGCAAAGGGCGCTGGAAACCTTGTATTGGAACTTGTGAAGCAACAAGTTCCTAATAAGGAAACTGAGAAGAGGGGGAGATGGGCAGGAAAGGTGTATAAAAGAAAGTGGTGGTGGGGAAAAGTCAGCAGTGTCTTTCTTTGCTGCAGAGATACAAGCAATATATTCATTTCAAAGCAAAACCGGCTTGTGAGTGGTCATTTAATATTACTATATAAAACCTACAGTCTTACAATAAGACACTACTGACTTTTTCCCACCACCACTTCCTTTTATGCACCTTTCCTGAGGTGTAACAAACATAATATACAAGTTCTTCAAAAGGATTTGTCAGATCTTCCAAAGGTCATGTGGACAAACTTCAATATATCCAATATTGTCCCATGTGAATTAAAAATGTGGTAAACAGTCTTGGGAATACAACAAGGTTCCCGGGTGTTTTTATGTCCTTGTTTCAAGAGGAGTATCTCTTCGTTAGGTTTCTTCCAAGGTTCCTTCATTCATTCGTTTGCAATAATCAGAAACTTAGCATATGTGCGATTCACAGGGACCACGATGGGGAAACAATTTGATGCAATAACATACTTGCTTCCACTACTAAGCAAATGGCTCTCCTGCGAGATTTCAACACAGGGTGGGATACGAAGATCTGACAAATGCTTTTGAAAAACTTGTATATTATGTTTGTTACACTGTTGTAAGCCATCCCTAAGTGTTCGTTGCCCATGCTTGTGTATTGTATGAGTTAGTTTGGTATTTTTCTCATTACTCCAATTGGTATTTGTGCTGAAGTTTATAGTAATAGGGCATTTGTGTATTAAGTAGGCATGGGCAATCCATGGTTCTATATGCTTCTAGGGGGCGCTGGTGCTTTGCTTCTAAAGTGTTTCTAAAGTTCTGGTGGTGAAAATTTCAGAACTCAAACAAAACTTTCGAAATGTTGTTATAAATAGCAGTTCCTAATTGGTTCTGTCATAAAAATCATGAAATTTTGAAAGTTTTCTTAGATTTCTGAAATTTTCACCACCAGAACTTTCGCAACACTTTAGAAGCAAAGCACCAGCTTTAGAAACACTTTAGAAGCAAAGCACCAGCACCCCCTAGTTTTGTAAATACTTAAGAACCATTTAGAACTATGGATTGCCCATGCCTAGTATTAACATTGCATTTATAGATATCTGTGTAATTAGAGAGGTTTCAGAACGTTTCATTCATCCACTGGTTTTTAGGAAAAAAAAATTATTCTTAATGCTTCTGATGAGTCCTGGTCCAATTAGTAATTCAGAGATTTGTATTTATGACTCATGCAAATCTCTGGATTACGGAACGGAGCTCTGAAGCTTTCTGCAGTCCTAATCTTCAGATGTCCCCCAACTGGGAGGCATCCAGCATCAATGGGCTACCCTGGTGTTTGGGGTCACAGGTGGAAAGTGGGATTGGCCCACCGACCTGTGAGGGCAACCCCACCGCAACCKCTTTGGTTCCACAGGTGCAGCTCATCCACGACACAAACCCCACCAGCAGCTCTCAGTCGCCGGGGGATGAGACYGAAACGGAAGCCGAGCCTGAGGCTGAAGCCGCCCCCGAGAAGGTCCACCTGACGTGGACCCAGGAGAAGGTGGTCGAGAAGAACAAGGCCTCCCAGAGCCCCGTCAGCCCCGAGAGCATCAAGGACTTCTTCAGCATGAAGCCGTGAGTGCCTTCTTCTCTTGGGGGTCTCTGCAGGATAGACTGGGCCTCAGGTGCTTTGGACCCACGGTGGGTGGGCAGGATATCCTTGGACCCAGCAAGGGGGTTCTTGGGGTGCAAGCAGGGGTCGGTGGGTCAGTGGATGGAGTGACCAGACCGAGACTGTCCTGGATTCTGGGGATGGGGGGGAGATGTACCAAGTAAGAATGGACTGCCACCCTTGTGCCGGGCAGTGAATGACCGCTCTCTCTCTTCCTCCTCCTCCTCCTCCATCTTGCCTTCCGCTGCCAGAGAGTGGGAGACCTTGTAAGTGTTTCTGGCACTGGGGTCCATCTTGTGGGAGGGGAAAGGGAGCCAGGGSTTTTGCCAGCTTTGCATCCYCCTCCTTGCCCCTCTTGTTGCTGACTTTCCCCATTGCATGCAGGGGGGAAGAACCAGATCTGGAAGGGGAGAGGAGGGGGCTTCTTTCGGGGTCACAAGAAGAGCCTGGCCCCCTGTCCAGTACCCAACCCAATCCACCCCATTCCCCTCCACAGGAACCAGTCCAACGTGAGGAGGATGCACACGGCGATCCGGCTCAACGAGGCCATCGTCAAGAAGTCCCAGGACGCCAAACTTGTGCTGCTCAACATGCCGGGACCCCCCCGGAATCGCAAGGGGGATGAGAACTGTATCCTTCCCAGGTCAAAGACGGCAATGTGGTGTGTGTGTGTGTTGGGGGGAGGGGTCCCTGGTCCAGGAGAAAGGGGAGGGTGTTTGCATGGCCCAGAAGGAGCCCTCCTGCACTCTTACACAGCATATGGCCCACAGGCCACATGCAGCCCCCAAAGGATTGCAGGCAGCCCGAAGAGGCTGTCACTTCCAGATATCCCCCTGCACACTCTGCATCCCACATTATATATAATCCATGCAGTGAAAGGGAGCAGAGAAGGTTCAGGTGAAGGGTGGGAGGGGCAAGAGAAAAGAGGTGGGGTTAACTGTGGAGTTGCAGCCAATCAAGTCTCAGGGCAGAGATTTTAGCCTATTGCAATTTTGGCTGCTTGTGTCAGACTGTAGGATCTATATAGCAATATTAAATAACCACTCACAAGCCGTCTTGCTTTGAAATGGATATATTGCTTGTATCTCTGCAGCAAAGAAAGACACATCTGACTTTTCCCCACCACCACTTCCTTTTATACACCTTTCCTGCCCATCTCCCCCTCTTCTCAGTTTCCTTATTAGACATTGTTGCTTCACAAGTCCCAATACAAGGTTTCCAGCACCCTCTGCTAGCTTCAAAATGTCACAGAGAGAGAATTGGGACAGCCAGGATGATTCAGTCAGGATGTCACGGAGGGAATTTGTGATGTCTTCATGCCGTCAGAAATTGACTCCTGACACCTTGCTTCTGCTAAGTTGTGCAGGCCTGCGCTAATGTTTCCTATGCCCAAAGCCCTTGGTCAACTGAGAGAGGGGTAGACCATCCTGGAGCATATAGCTCCCACTACTCCGCATGGATCCAAAACATCATGATAACGTATCTTGGTCTGTGCATAGCTGGTGATGTGTGCCTTCAACTCATCTGACTGTAAACAATCCTAATGTAAATTGAAGTTGTGGCTTGCCCAGGACCCTGCTAGGTGGTGGTCATGGTCTACAGTAATCAGGGGAATAGAAGCCATAAAAACTTGGGCGGGGAAACACGAAGGGAAGGCCCCCATGGATTTGGGGAAGGGGCACAGCACCACCTTCCAGAGAGAGACTGAGGCAGGGGGTCAAGTGTAGGTGGGTCCGGCAAGCCAAGAGGCACCTATGTGTCCGCTACGGCCCTTGACCGCTCGGCCCAGACATGGAGTTCTTGGAGGTGCTGACGGAGCACCTGGACCGGGTCCTGCTGGTGCGCGGCGGTGGCCGGGAGGTGATCACCATTTACTCCTGAGAAGCCCCTCCTCGCCGCTCCCTCGCCTGAAGAGCTGTGCCCCTCCCAACATCCCCTGCACCCCTCTCCCCGAGAGCAAGGCGGGCACGGCCCCGTCTCCGCCACCTGCTCTCCTTCCTTCCCTTCTCCCTCCCTCCCTTCCCTTCTCCCTTCCTTCCTTTCCTCCCTTCCCTCCCTTCTCCCTTCCTTCCTTTCCTTCTCCCTTTCTTCCTTCCTTCTCTCCTTCCTTTCCTTTTCCCTTCCTTCCTTCCTTCAGCACCTTTCGAACTGCAGCGCCAGGCGCATCTGAGCACCAAGGCAACCGCTGCCTCCGCCCTGCAGCAGAAGCACCGTCACCGCTGTGTTGACCCACAGATTGATTGGACGCCGACTCTGGACTGACCGCTCACAGCCGGGTGGACAGAACCCAGTTGTCGGCAGCTAAGTGATGCTTCCGAGCCTCTTTTCTGGGGCGGCCGGAGGCGCTGGTTGTGCCGGCCCCTTGTCCCGCTCCCCGCTGCCTGCTTTTCCATCGACTGTCGCCTTCTGTCAGATGTACCCCTCTCCCTCCCTGACCCTGACCCCGACCCCCACCCAGCAAAGGGGAGAGGACCCCAGCTACGGCTACCAGCATGCTTTCCCTGCCGGGGCTGGCCTCTCCCCGCCCTCTGCCCTCTTTCTCCCCGGGCCAAGGCGTG